TGCCACGTGTTTGTGTTCGCAAGTCACAAGAAGCCGCCAAGTGTTCCGCCACGCCAGAGCTATTTGAAAACAGCGTAGAAAAGTCACAATAAGCCATCGCTAATTCACTCTACGCTGGAGCGAAATCGTTTGAAAACTTTCAAATCTTTTGCCGTAACAATTTGAGCACGGTTTCTAAACAGAGCGAGGTGAAAACGGCGGAGCGCTTCATAGCTTCGTGTGAACACAAACGTGTAAACTCGAATGCTTTTCAGTTAAATTTCTTGGGTCTATTTGAAATATTTTGGGTTTACACGAGTGCTAATTCAATTTGTAAACAAACTGTAATGGCGGTAGTATGAACACACGTAAATTCTGCCCGCATTAGTTCGCTCGCGCCTAGTGTGAACGTAGTCTAATTTTCGGTGACGTTTTCAAACGGCGAGGTAGCCTTTAGAAAAATTTAGAAATAGTGGATGTCCGAAGGGGAGGGGGGTAATTTTGGGCTTGGATGTCCGGAGAGGGGGGGAGGATGAACCATTCAAGGATGTCCGAAGGGGGGGGGGGTTATTTTCGATTTCCTCCGTAGGGGGGGGTATGGATCTTTTCTGGAATGACCCAATAGTAATTCGTTTGGAAAATTTAGTGCGAAATGTATATACCTTGGGTGGTTTAACAACTTCCGGGTCGACAACAGTTGTGCTGTCATCCGTACCGTTCTTGAATTCTTTATCGCCGAGACTATACACTTGAAATTTAACATTTTCGTCAACAGCTCCAGTTGGAACATCTACAGTCCCAAATGTATTTCCGACTTCTGTGTCTTCCATAGTTGCGTTAGAGTCAACATTCACAGTGTCGAAGAAGAATGAACCCGAATCATTTTTTGAGAATATAAATTCTGTTTTCCCCACTGTGATCCCGTCAGATGTCATTGGCTCCGATTCGAGACCCGCTCCGTTAATCGCTTTGACTGTAACATAAAACTTGCGCTCTTTTTCAAGACCACCATTACCGAATTTCGCGTACCACCTTGAAGCATTGCCTAATTCTTGGAATTCCCAGACGTCATCCAAGCCAGGTTCTGATCCCCAGCCAATTTCATAAGATACCACTCCACTTTCGGGGTCTTCTGCTTCCCAATTACCAAATATTAGATTCGTAAATACCTAAAACAAGAATATACCCTAATTACCGTTTGGTTATGAACTAGCTTCACAATAAATGTTCTCCGCCCGAAACATCAAAGTGTTTTTTATCCTTTCAAGTGTTGCTGTCGAAACCCACACCAGTTAATGTTCTAAATAAATGGTGGTTATCATGTCTTTTCGTGTTTATGCTGAAGCAATACCCGGCTGTGAGAAAAGTTATTATTATTCATTTAAAAGAACGAATTATATCTGATTTGCTAACAACCAATTGCGAAGTTGTCATAGCAACTCAATAGATGACCAAATATGGAGTTTTGACATAATATGCGACAAAGTGACGTTATAACGTTGATATATAGAGGATATTACACGGCGGCGCGAAGATATGACATTTATCTTCGCGTGGCGAAAACATTATTTTTTGCAGCGAGTGAGTACAATATTGTTTTTAACACAAAAAGATAAAAGTCACATCTTGAAGTTACCGTGTAAATAATGTTCTGTTTATTATATAGTCCGAAGCAAAAAATTGTGAAATCTCACGCTCAAAAGCAAATTGGAAAAATCACGTGATCGATACCTTCACTAGTGAAGATATGGAAAATATCTCACTGTGTATATTTCATTATCTCACTCTATACTATGAAATAAATAAATAATATAAAACGCTATATGGCGCAGTGTTAATGACGACTGCCGAAAGGGGTGAGGAATTATCACAACACAAATATCTTCCTACAACTTCCACTGTTCCAGCTTTTGAATAAATAATAGATTAATTATTGAATTCAGTTTTTATTAAGAACTATTAAGGCCTTAGTTTTTGTGATAACACAAACTTTAGCTTGATAATTCCTCATTCAAGAATTCTTAATTACTGCACACTGTACAGGCCAAGCCCCCCCCCAGCGCGGTCAGTAGTTTGCATAAACTGCCAGCCAAATTTAAAAAAGCCAAACAACATGGGTTGTAGTAGACTCGCCTCTATAGTATATACTGAGGGAAACTGTTCAAATTATTGTCAGAAAAAATCAGCGACAGAACCAAAAAGGACAAAAAACAATGCAAAACTTCTATTGACGAGTGTTTGTTATTTTCTAGTTAAATAATATTCTTTGCGTCTTTCACGCCGGGTTTTATGAAGTTTTGACAGCCAAAAAACTTATTGACTTCGATGTGAATAATTCTGACTTGATATTATACTCCAGTAGCCTCGTCTAATAGTTGTTTCGCTTTCATATAACAATAAGTTAAACTCACCTGAAAGTCGATGTCTGGTCCAACCAATCCATCTCTCACGTAATGTATTATTGGGGGAGTAGTATCAACCAAAACCCCATCGCTTGACTTGGCTGTACACAACCCAGCGTAGTTACACGCCAATACAGTGACGTAATACTTATCATTATGTTGTAATGACAAGCCATCGAGAGTCCTATTAAGGTGGTTTGTTGCATTTTCGCACCGCATAATGTCATCATGAAGTGGTTTCGAACCGACACACCAGAAATATTGCGCAATGTTGCTCTCGTTGTCACGAAAGTCGAGCCATCGAGCACTGATTTCATAAGTGTTGTTGGTGTAATCAAAGTCTGTTTCAGAGAAACTCCGGCTTGTGCACTGATGTTCCGAACTGAACGTTGTATTTGTAGAACAATTCTGGGAATCATTGCTTCCTAACCCATCAAGAACCGTACCAGCCTCGGGTGAAGTGTAATCAATAGAAAACGGAAAGCTATCGGAAGTTTTTGTCAATCCTGTAGCTGACAGCTGCGTCAACCTGATGAAGTAACTGTGTGCAGAACCTGGTAAATAAAACTCTTGATCTTTAAAGCCTTGCGTCGATTCTGTAACGGTTAAGTTATCTCTAGACGCATTTTGGCTAACGGTTCGATTATTCTCTACGGTGCAAGGATAAGTCTCACAATGCGACACCTTAAATATTGCATCCGTCGAATAATTCAAACAAATACTGTTGCTACAATTAGTACATTGTTCTTCAAATCCAGAATATGCTTCTTCGTTTCGTTCGCACGGAGTGCATATGACCCGTTCCTTTTGGTCGGCTTCAAAAACTTTCTTGCGCACATGATTCCGCTTACAAAACGTCGTAACGTACATTCTTCCTGTTCCCACGTTCACATAATTGGTTGGCCAAGTAACTTTTCTGGGAGTTCCAATGATGAGGTGATTTTCTGTGATAGCTACGGATACACCAGGATAACCATCATCAAATCGTGACTCGACTGTTTTAGAAAACACTCCACCAATCCTCATGCAGCCTTTGTTGCGTTCGTAAAGAATCAGTTCCGCACCATCTCGCCCATCCGATCTCATTCCAATTGCCACAATTATCCCACTGCTTTCTGAAACATCCAAGCCACCGCTGAGATGAAATCGTTTGGGAAATACATATTTGCACCTCCGTGTGGCCTTTGCTGGCGACGTTCCGAGCTCAAAAACATTCAACGTTCTTGCTTCTATCGTGAGTATGAATAATTCGTTTTCTTTTGTCAAATACACGGTTTTAGCACTCAAAACGTTTTGAGGCAAGCTTTCTGAAAGAGTTGTTTCTTTTTTCCAGAAAGAGTCCAATATCTTCGAGTATAGGCGAATTTCAGAACCTGCTATTACCATAAATTGTTGATTCACTGCGATGCTGTAGGGAACAGTGAAGTCCTTTCCTTCACGTCCAAGTACTTGATGTAATTTCCAAGAGTTACTACCATTCTTAAAAACAGCAACAACAGCGTAGTCTTCACGAGGGTGCCTACCGCTGACAGCAATGATCTCAGAACCATCATATGCAAATTCACGTCCTATACTTTCCAAAGAAGACCACTGGGTATCTCTGGTACAATGCTCAGGTGCATCTGTCGTTGTATGATTACAGTTTGTTATATAAAAGGATGAACTTGTCGAAGTAAGGTTTTCACTGTTCTGCCTTTGTAATACCAACGTACCACCAACCGACACCAAAATTGTATCATTTTTTGCTTTAACTTTAACATAACTATCATTGACGCTCGTATTGAAAGGTACATACGCAATGGGAGTGATATGTAATGATTCTGTCGAAAACATATAAATTGCATTTTGAGAAGATGCCATAATTAAGTCTTTGCCAAAAGCACTAACCGTGATGCCAAATAAGATTGTTTCCGCTACCGGTATGAACTGCCTATCTGGATACACAATTGGTGGGAATTTATTTGTTTTTGAACAACAAACGTCCAAGTCGCTGTGAAGATGCGAGTCATTAAATACCTGTCGACTGTTAATCGTTACATTTCTCGTTTCGTTCGCGCCAGATGTAACTCGATAAACGCTTGCATGGTATGTTATCGGCACATGCTTATTAAAAAGTATTGTTTCGTTTGCCTTCTTGAGGTTAGCTTTAATGAGTACACTAAGGGGATCTGGCAGAAATAAGGTTCCTTCAAAGATTTCTCGCTGTAATCGTGGAATTCCACCAACATATTTTTGCCAGCGATCTTTTTCTGTTCCTTCAATTATATCAGTCGTGTTAACCTGTATATCAGGGGGAGCGTCCGGAATTATTATCACTGGATCACCGCTGGAATCGGTACAAAGGTCAAACTTGCTGCAGAGTCTTACCACTGGTCGATATTTGACGTACGGCTTTAGTCTATTGCCACTAAATATAACATGCGACTTTCCGCTCGAGATGTCCACGAAATTAAAAACAAGAGGTTCCCCATGCCATTTTTCAAGTATGGTTGTGACTGCATTTTGGTCATATTTTGTCAGTGCAGCTTGGACACCAGAATACAAAGACCTGTTTTGTGGTAATGACCAGGTAACAAAGATTACGTCTGTGTTAGTCTGGTAAACGGACACAGGTCTCGTATTATTCAAATGGCCGATGACTGCAACGCTGATTCGTGGAGGGAATATTCGTACGGGATTGCATTGAGAAGACTTGAGTAGTACATAGTTTCCAATCCCATTTGTAATGCGAACGACCACTCGGACACTTTTTATTGTGGGAAGAGAATGGATTGTAGCAGACACCGTGAATGTGTTTAGTGATAGAGACTCCCAGGCCTGTATATTACATGTATCATGGACAGTTTCAATGCACCATTCGGTTAAGGCTATACCAGATTCTTTATCTTCATAATTCAGCCACGTGACTTTCATCAGGTCATTCTTGCAGGAAATTTTAATTTCGCTCTCTTTCTCCGAGCCTAATGCAAACAAAATGCACATTAATGTTTCCTAGATAGTGTTTTGTAAAACATTTTCTTTAGAGCAAATGCTAATAATTGGAAGAAAAAGTTACATTATGTGTATATAAATTAATTAAAATAACCTGTAAAAGAAAATCAATGTAGGAGGAAATACAGATTCTCACGCATGGAATTTGAGCATCTTATGCATATATTCAGCATTAATAATTCATATGTATAAAATAAACGTTGATTTTTCAAGGGGGAAAAATGCGCGAATAAAGTGTGACAAATTACCTGATGTGTCTCCATTACAACCATCAAATAACGCATTGCAATGACCGTCCGAATTGGAAGAACCACCTCTCATATGCTTTACCGGTTCAGGTGGAGTAAGATCAATCTTAATGCCATTCGATGTCACTTGAGTTGAAAGTCCAACCATATTGCTAACTTTAACAGTGACGTAATACTCTTCTTTATGACGTAATGTTAGATTATTAAATATATACGTCGTGTTTAACCCCGATGATAAGTATCCAATTTCATCGCATTCTCCTTGTGATTTACCAAGGCAGATTTCATAGTGGGATAATTCCGACTCAGGATCATAAAATTTTCCCCATCTGAAAAAAAGCAACATGAACGTGATATCATTTTATCGGCACCCTTTTATTACACCTTTGGAATTAATAGCGCATAGGGGCCACTATTTTTGGAGAATCCCTGGAAATAGGAGGTAATTCATTTGGGGGTATTCAAGTCGTTAACAATAAAATCCATTTGGAAAATATAACCAGCCCAACGATTCAGTCCCCGCTATGCAAATATTGCCATGTTTTAAACTATCAACACAATCAATTTCTAAAGAAATGAATAATGATAACGAGTTGAAATTTTCATAGCTGATCAAATCGTCTTGCTGGCTACGCCACTGACCGTAGTCGTCTGTAATCATTGTATTTCATAACTACCCGTTGGAGGCTGCAGTCTGGCAGCCAAAAGCTCGTGATAAATAAATAATTTATATCCAACCAGAGAACGTCTCAGAAATCATTGTGTATTTCTATGTTAAGTGAAACTTCAACTTACATTAAATTAATTAATATGAAAAATACCAAATCACTTTTAGTTCGATGAAAGTTGATTTAATAATATAAACATAAAATAGGAGAAAGATTCGGAATGATAGGGATGCAACTACCTGAAAAATACGGGGATAACTTAGGCGTTTTGAGCGAAGGCCTTACTGGCACTACCTAATTAAACTGGCACAGACCTTTTAATAATTTATAATTGGAGAGGAAACTATTTTAGAGAGACAGCTACATCAGTTTACTGTAGTAACGGATTCTTCAACACAACACAACACAACACAACACAACACGAAACGAAACGACACAACACAATATACTGTAAGTAAAATTATGGGTAAACATACCTAGATATAATTTGTTTCACGTCAAAACCTGTTGCTGATGAACTAACAATCGAAACCCATCCAGAAATTGGTGGCGTATCGTCCACGATAAATTCATTTGATGTTGCTTCAACGGTCAACCCAACAAAATCTGTAGCACGAATAATCACAACATATCCCTTGGCGTTCTCCAAATCAAGACCTGGAAGTCAATCGATAGTGTTAGTTTTCTTTAATGAACAGTTGAATTGATTGACCAACCTAGGGGCACTTGAAGGCAGCATACCTACGCCAGCGAACTAAGTTATGTATCACGCATGAATTATCCTCGAGCAGACGGCGCCATGCGAGGGTACTAATCCCCCCCCGGCTATTTACACCCGGGGAAAAGAAAGCATTGGCGAAGTCTGAAGTTCATCAATGATCGCGGATGTGGCTCACCAAACAAGGGGGAATTTCGAAAAACGCTTCATCACATAAATTTGTAAACAAACATATTGGGTTACCTCAGAGCTTTGTCTGCAAGCGGTTTTTTGTTTTTTTGCTATGAAATTGATATATGTTGTTCTTAAAAGAATTCTCCTCAGCTTCCTCGTGCCGATTTTTGATTAATTGCGTGATTGGGAAGAATTCGTCCCCTCGAATTTGTAGGTTCCGAATGGATTAGCGTTTTTAAAAGCCTTTCAAATCGAGGTTTGAGAGGTTTTATTTTTTAAAAGATACTTTTATCTTCATATTTTCACATTAACTTATTAATATCCTGTGTAACAAGTAACCAGGACACTTCTGGGCCAGGACAAGTTGACATGTCTATTTCTGGCTAAATACCGTGGCGATCAATATGGTTCGTATCTAAATACAGGGAATTTTTAAAATTTTGTTGGTATAAATGGGCTAAAGAAACTCATCAAATATTTGGACTATGGACCTTCAAACTTATGCCAAGTATTTATTTGATTTATTAGCTCAATAACTGTTTTTTGGCTCGTCTTTCGTCGATTTCGGCATTTGGTCGACATCAGAATAATGTGTCAACATTGCGTGTTGCAGCCTGTGGACATGAATAGTTTCGTTTGTTTGGCCATAACACTTGTCTTCATTGTTTTTAATCCTTGAATGACAATGTATTCATTGGTCTCAGAGTCTTAAACTTAAGGTAGATGGATGACTTTGAGACAGATATCGAAATTTTGTTCGGATACCAAAATGTATGGACATATAGTCATAGCTATATGTATTAAAGTCAGGAAAGTCACCATAAACAATAAGCACTGCATCCCAAACAAGCAACATGACAGGCTTCAAGCATGTGTTCTGGATAGCCTTGATCATATAAACAGGTCCCCAATAGATCCCGAGACTATAATTGAAAGATTTTAGTTCATAAATTTGTGCATTATAGGCCGTGCGCTGTTGGCCAAAACTATCTCGCTTCGTGGCACCCATGTAGGAAACACTTGGTTTGGGGTTTATTTGAAAGGCATATAGATACATCACTATCAAAAAAAGTTCCCAAGCAAAAAGTTGCCCAATCCCGAGAAAATGGGTATCAATAATTATCCTCTATTAAATTGTATTACAGCAAAAAAAGTGAAATTCTGTATTCAATTACAATAAAAATGACTTGCATCATCGCAAAACGTAGAAAAACCACATATAACACTTTTAAACAGTTTTTTGATTGTTCAAATAGTCTTTGAGTTATTGCTGTTTTAAATGTGAAAATTGGATCAAAATGTCGCAATAAGGACTGGGTACTAGGTCAAAAAGGCGTTTTTGACAGCGTATAACTCGAAATCAAGGCACTTTTTCGCACAACAGCCCACGGTCTATTACCAGAATACCTGTGCACAAATGAATATTTTACATATATTATATAATAATGCAATCCAATATTAAGCCCCCAGTAACCTCACAAATAGGCCTCCCTTCCAAAAATCAGATCTCCCTTCCAAAAATAAGCTCTCCCTGTTAAGGGCTGTCAAAATGAGCCATGCTAGCCCAGCAAACATGGCTGCATTTTCTTTTCAGGGCTAGTTTGTCATTTGCCTCAAAGGAGTCAGGCTAACCTGGCAAGTGTTGGCAGGAAATTTGTGTGAAGCGCTAGTGAATTTGTTAATGGCAACAGCTTCAGAAGGCTTATATTAATCAATTTCTTACTTACTTGGGCCAAATTGTGTATTATAACATGATTTTTAGTCGAGGTGAGCTGGTTGGCCAGTTTATGACCTTTATTAGTGTGAGACTCCCAATGAAGCAGATGCTGGGCCAATAAATTCAACCAGGCTGTTTCATGTGAATACAATCTCAAACATATATAAAATTAATATATGAGGCAGTATCTTAACATGGGCAGGTGTATATTTAGCCCATATAAATGGGCAAGACCAGCTTGCCCGGTGTGATATTATATACTATACTGACAATACCTGGTTGATTCTACAAGATTATGGCCTAAAATGTTCCAATTGTAGTTTCAGGATCTGCTATTAGGGTCTATTGATATGATCTGGGCTAGGCAGCATGGGACCAAGGCAATTTCATGTTGCCTGGTTGTGGCATAGAATGTTTACTGTAAACGGTGAATTTCTTGGCTTACATAGTTGGGATTCTGGCAAAGCGGATTCTCGACCGTGCTTAGCCAGGATAGTAGCAGGATAGTCAGGATAGCAGGATAGTATATCGACTTGCAAATGTTGTCTCCTGCCTAGCCAGGTCATAAAAACAGGCCCCATTTGTGACTAGTGGGCCAGATTAAGGAAGAAACTATGAGGGTCCTATAGCTATGCCAGGATTCTGGCAATGGAAACCTCGCGCTTAGTCAGGCCAATAGTAGCAGGATAAGATAGGATATACTGGCAAATGTCGTCTCCCACCTAGCCAGGTAATATGAACAGGGCCCAATTGTGACTAGTGAGCCAGCAATCTCGTTCCCCGAGCCTGCGATCCTTGGGAAGGAAACGAAGGCTCTGGGATAATCCATCTCAGACATACAGAAAACTGTATGTCGACCGAACTGCGCATGCGTTGCCAAAAGCAAAACAAATTGTTTTAAATATTTTATTGTTTCGTCTATAAAATGATGATTTTTTCTGGGTTTTGGTGGAAATGTTGATGTTCTTCATAGTGGGATACAAAAGGTGTGTTAGTGACTGAATAAGGAAAATATTGCGTGTGAAACAGGGTCAGTATAGAGCCGGCAGGAGCCGCGAAGAGTGCTGTTGTCGAAGAAAAATGTCACAATTAATTGTAATCTTGTCCATTCACCTCTGTGTCAGTTTAAAAAAGCTTTAAATGTAGAGACATTTGTGGTTCCTCCAGCATAATTTAGCCGTTTAACGCTACTATGTTTCTAATGGTTGAAAGAGCGCGTGGAAAGGGCAATTTTCAAGAACAAAAACAATTACAATAGTGTGTGTTTAATAATTGCTACTGTAGTATTAAAATACCTGAAGAGAGTCTCAATTCTAATTAAGTCGGTTATAAACCTTGATAATATTAAAGTTTTCAGAAGATTTGTATATCAGAGAATATTAAAAGGAATTTAGACTTATAAAACATATAATTAAAAATATGAATATAGTGAATTCCATGTTTGTATTGTTTAATATCATCTCTAGAAATTAACAGTTTATAAACCAAATCCATTTAATATTTTTTAACTGCCCTTATATGCAACAGTACTTCTCAAATTATTGAATTATAACCAAATTTTGTGTCTGAAAGGAATTAGTATTAAAGATTTATAGTTTGTAATGATAGACTTGGAGCAAGTTAAGCTGCAATGTGCCTCAGTTTGCCCTACTTTGTTATTTTAAGCTGTTTAATTAACACGTCAAGGGGAAAGTATTGGACTTGGTATTTGAATGGGTTAACCAGTCCATCTGCTAGCCTGCATGCAGACTATATAATAATATATATGTCATTATATACTGTAGTCTGTGTGCAGGCTATCCATCTGCATGTCTACTTATCTTTGGTTAATTATCTCATTAGATCATTAAGCCACAATGCTCTTTAGTGCACCCTATTTTGTTATTTCACTGTACTTCTGGACAAAATTTCTCATCAATGGCCGAAAATGTACTTGACTTCATGTTGATTACTGCCATTAATTAACTAAATACTGTACTAAATACGACATTCAAGGTTGAAGATATAGCGGTTGCTATCATTGTAGCATTCAGGGGTGTCACTAGCCCAAATTGTCAGGCATTTGGCAATTTATTGTATTGGCAATCGGGAAATTGTTTTTGTGGCCAGCATGATTTGAATTGGAAAGGAAGGGAAAAAAAACGAAATATACGAGTTTTTGTTGCCCCTCCCCTTCTCAGAGTAGGTATGTGTTGTTTTATAGTGTAAATAACAAGTTTTGATATTGCAATCAAACCGACAGGGTAGTTGTCATGACCATGGTAATAAAAATATTTCTATGGCTCGGAATTTATATTGGGCAATTTTTTATCATTCATCACAAAATTATATCTGCACCCTAGGTGGTTCCCTGCAGTGGGTCATAACCAGGGGGAAGCTGATGAAAATGAATTCTGGTTTTGGTGGCTGATGACTGTCATTTAATATGAATAGAACATTTCTTAAAAAAAAGTATATGAATTTATTAAAAATATTTATATGGTCTCCCAAACTGAAATTCATACTTTGTAACATCTGGATCAAAAGGTTTATAATGTTTTCTTGGACAGAATCCAATTAATACAACCTCGTACAAGGGCAGGGCTTCTTTGAATTACTGTGTGGACAAGATTAACAAAGGGATTGGCAATTTGGCATATTGTGCTACTCAATAAATTAAAATCATTAAATACTTTATGCTACAATTAGCTGTCAGTAATATTATACTGTATATTATTGTGTTTCTTATGACTTCATAAATTTGATGGGTGGTCAACTCTAAATCGAGACACAGTTATCAGTGAGAGTGAATTAATTTTTCACTGTATGTGTTGGCCTTGTGTTTGGTAGCAAATACATGTAATTTCATATCATTTACTCACTCCAGTACAACATAAGCATCAATACATTTATTTTTTAGGTTGACCCCCCATCAGAACAAATGACAGAACGTGCAAAATGCCATAGTGAAACCCAAGAATTCATTATATGTATAATGCAGTATGCACCTATCAATGTTAAGCCCCAGAGGAGGGGGGGGGGGGTCGGGCACAGGTGGGGCATTTGATT